ACTAATCCGGACGTCCCTTGTCCGGTTTAAGTAGAACTCCGGGCAATACATATCCGGTTTAACAGTCGAAACCGCAAGGTATTTAGATATATTGAAATTCATAGTAAAGCAGTTCAATAGAAATGAATTGTATGCACATCTTTAGTACTCAAAGCATAAAACACTCACCTTTGATTTTGAATTTTGACTTCAATTAACTGTAGCTTCTTTTCACTCTTTTCTCCCTCCGATTTTCTTCTAAAATTAGCCAAAAAGAAGCTTTTCTTTTTCAAAGGCACTTGCTATTTATAGCAAGTGCTATAATCGTCTTTTAAAAAGTCGGCTATAACCTTCCCCACCCATACATCAATCTTCACACACACACACACACACACATATATATATATATATCCATATACATACTAGTTGTGTACCCGCGCAATGCGGCAGGAGCCATGAATTTTAACGATTTTGAAGTCCCACTGGTTTTATAAGATAGGATTTAACGATTATATATGTTACACTTGGTCTTTACATATTAATACAATTTGAATAAATAAAAGTTATGATTCTAATTACAGAATATCGATGAAAAAAATTGTATGACAATTTAAAATCTAATATATTTAAAATCCAACATATTTAAGCGACTCCACAAATGTATTCGATTTACACTAAGAGCAAAGAACCAAGAAATTTGAGTTTTAAGATAAACTCAAAACCAATAAAGAAAACTACAAATTTGACAGATCATAAGCCATGAAAAGACACAAAAATATGGGTTTTAGAATAAAATTTCAACTGTTTACCTTCTTTCTTGTCCAGAAACTCAGATTAAGGTTGAATTAATACATGTATATATATATTTCAAAAAAGCTAAGAACATATTAATTCAAAATATATTATACAGTGCAATTTGGACAGCCTAACTCCAAAATATATAGTATATATATAAATAAATAACTATAAAAGTATAAATCGTAAATATTAAAAATATTTTTTCACAGTATATATATAATATATAATAATATAATTAAGTAAAAAACTATTCAATATTGGACTCATTTCGAAGGTATTAACGTGACGATTATAACGGTGTAACTTGTTAAAATAACAATGTATTTTTTAAACATGTTTTAATTGATATACGATTATGTATGTTAATTTGATAAAAGTTTAAAATGAAACATTTAAAAGTAAAGGACGTAAAATAAATTAATTAATTAATTATAGAGGTATAAAGTGTAAATTTAAAATTATAATTTTAAAAAAATCGGTTGTGAGAGGATGAGTGTATGTGAGGGGGTGAGTGTATGTGAGGGGGTGAGTGGATGAAAAAGTGAGTATAAAGGGTATTGTGGTCATTCAAAATTTTAAGACTTTAAGACATTTTGCTTAATAAGATAGTATATATATATATATATATATATATTCCAAAACTCTCAAAATAAAACTTGTAACCCGAATATTACAATATTCCCTTCTTAAAATAATTCCGTCCCGGAATTTCATTTAAGCAAATTGGTAAGGATACTTTATCCGCATCTCCGATTCTGATTCCCAGGTGGCGTTTGGTTCTTTATGATAACGCCACTGAACCTTTACTAACCCAACCTTTTTATTTCGTAGTTTCTTTTCCTTGTAGTCAGTAATCTGTTCAGGGGTTTCATCAAAGCACAATCTCTCGTCCACCTTTATTTCGGGTAGCGGCACTACCATATCTGGATTTATTAGACACTTCCTTAAATTCGCCACATGAAATGTGTCATGGATCCCACTTAACTCTAAAGGAAGTTCTAAATTGTAAGCCACTTCCCCAACCTTTCCAATAATAGGGAATGGTCCAACATACCTTGGACTTAGTTTCCCCTTTTTCCCAAAACGGACCATTCCTATCCAAGGTGATATCTTTAACATCACATTATCACCCACTTGAAACTCAATCGGCTTTCGACGTTTATCTGCATAACTTCTTTGTCTATCTTGCGCTGCCTTCGTTCGTTCTCGAATTACTCCTATTTTATCTGCAGTTTGCTGAACTAATTCAGGCCAGCTAACCGTTTTTCACCTATTTCGTTCCAACACAAAAGAGTTCGACATTTTCGTCCATACAGAACCTCGAAAGGTGCTGCCTGAATACTTGAATGGTAACTATTGTTGTACTTGAATTCCACCAGAGCCAAATGACTATCCCATGACCCTCCAAAATCAATAACACATGCTCTCAGCATATCTTCTAAAGTTTGTATAGTTCGTTCACTTTGTCCATCTGTTTGCGGGTGGTAAGCTGTACTTAGCTTAATCTGTGATTCCATCTCTCTTTGGAAGCTCTACCAAAACTTAGAAGTGAACCGACTATCTTTATCAGAAACAATTGATAGAGGGACACCATGTCGTGTTACTACCTCATCAATGTATAATTTTGCCAATCTCTCCATTGAATATGACTCTTTCATAGGTAAGAAGTGTGCAGATTTGGATAACCAATCTACTATTACCCATATAGCATCATAACCTTTTGATGTTCTCGGCAATTTGGTTATGAAATCTATAGTGATGTGATCCCACTCCCATACTGGAACTTCTAAAGATTGCAACTTACCATAAGGGTGTTGGTGTTCAATCTTTACCTAAAGACATGTTAGGCGTTGCTCAACATGCTTAGTTACATCCTTCTTCATACCTGGCCACCAATAGTGTTGCTTCAAATCCCGATACATTTTATTTGTACCTGGATGAATTGCAAAACGTGACTTATGAGCCTCACCCAAAATACGTTTTCTGAGTTTACCATAGCATGGTACCCAGATTCTGTTCTGGAAATTCCAAAATTCTCTGTCATCTTTTACCAAATCAGATATTAATCCACCTAATCTTTCCTGTTTAATCTTACTTTCCTTCATGGTCTCATGTTGAAATTCTCGTAACTCTTCTTGAATACTGGGTAACAACTCAACCCGTAGAGCTATAGCTTTGATAGTTCCACTCTTCTCTTGTCGGCTTAATGCATCAGCCACTGCATTTGCTTTTCCTGGGTGATATAAAATTTCACAATCATGATCACTTACCAATTCCAACCATCGTCTCTGACGCATATTCAGATCTTTCTGATGAAACAAATGTTGTAAGCTCTTATGATCTGTGAAAATTTGACATTTCGTTTCATATAGGTAGTGCCTCCATATCTTTAAAGCGAAAACTACTGCCGCCAATTCCATATCATGAGTAGGATACTGCCTTTCGTGATCTTTTAACTGTCTGGAAGCATAAGCTATTACCTTTCCACGTTGCATTAAAACACAATCCAGACCCATCTTTGACGCGTCACTATAAACTACAAAATCTTCCATTCCATCCGGCAAAGATAGAATTGGTGCACTGCATAACTTAACTTTTAACATCTGAAAAGCCTGAGCTTGAGCTTCATCCCACTCATATTTCACATTCTTCTTAGTCAACTTTGTTAATGGAGTGGCTATACGAGAGAAATCTTGTATAAACTTACGATAATACCCAGCCAATCCAAGAAAACTTCTGATTTTAGTTGGAGTCTTTGGGGCTTCCCATTTTTCAATGACTTCAACTTCAAAGGATCCGCTTTAATGCCTTTTTTTGAGATAACATGTCCCAAAAACTGAACTTCTC